TAGCCTTTCCATGGCTTATTCTGTGGGACCCAGAGTAAGTCCCTGGGACAGGTGGCGCTGTTTGTGCCTGTCTTCTCCATCTGAGGGGGCTTCCTGGGCACCCCAGATGGGCATGGAGTGCCCGTGAGCCTCTGTGTGGGAGCCTTGGCCACAGGGCATTGTGCAGGGAAACCTCCGGAGCTCATGTCCCCTCCCCTAGAGAGGACTAGGCCTGAACATGGCCCCCAGAGCTGCTCTTTGGGGACCAGTGGTGACGGCCTCAGCTGGGAGGGCCTGGGGAATGCTGGACTGTGTGCCCACCCCACCCCACAGAGAGCCCAGCTCACTGCCAAGGTAAGCACCACTGAGGGGTGCAGCACTGCTGCGTGGCCTGTGCTGACTCTGAAGGGCCACTGAGACGGCGTGCCACCATCCCTGGTGCCTAGGCCTCCCGCAGGGTGCCTCCCACTGCAGTGGTGACCAGCCTCCTGCCTGGCCATCCCAGGAGGCCCGGCCCAGGGACTTGAGCCTCCTCATGCACCCTGCCTGGAATAAGGCAGTGACAGGAAACGGGGAAGCGGAAGCGTGCAGAGGACAGGAGGGACAGAGGGCAGAGGACGGGAGAGGCACCTTCAGGTGCCCAGGTGGTCTCACCGCTGCAGGAGAGCCTCCACCTGAGGCTGGGGAGTGCGGTGGGGAGGGAGATTGCAGGCGGCACCTGGCGTCCGTGGATGGGCTCCGGGGCTTGGTGGTTCTATCTGCTGACGTGGCTGTGGCTGCGGAGGGTTTACATCCAAACATGTCAGTGGCTGGAGGCGTCTCAGTGCGTGTACTGCATGGGTGCTGCATGTATGTGCATGAGTGTGTGTGTGCACATGGGCATTGCATGCATGTGAATGTACAGCAGGTGTGCAGGTGTGTCCGTGTGTGCACGCATACACGTGTGCACATGCGTTCTGTGTGCCTACTCTTCAGCCCATGTGACTATGCCCCTGCCACAGGGGGAGGAATCTACAGGGCTGAGGGGCCATGTGCTCACCCCTCCAGTCACCTCTGGGCACCATGACCCTGGAACTCCTCACAGAGTGCTTTGATTCCCCTCTCTGTCCTGCTCAGGCCTCTTCTGCAGGAGCATTTCCATGAGGTGGACGTATGCCGAGGCCCAAGGGGTACTGTTTGTGGGGGGCTCAGATGAAGCTGGGGCATGCTGGTTGGGGCATCCTCATGCCTATACGCAGCCCCCTGGGGCATCGGACAAAGCCGGAGGTGGGAAGAGAGGGAGGGAGGTGGGAAGAGCCCTGTGCCCAGGCCAGCTCCTTCCTTGCTGCCACTTATAGCACCAAACTCCCAGGAGTCTGAGAATTCCAAATCGATCTGGGCATTCCGTGGAGTCTGGGAGGTGTAGCTGCAGAGGTAGGAGGGGAACGTGACTCTGCTTGTCAGCTTCACGTATACCTTCTAAACCCTTTAAAACACGGAGGCAGGTGGCATGTGGGCCCCACAGGTGTGAGGAGTGGCCTGGCTTCGTTCGTTCTGTTTTTCCGCAGCCTAGAACAGCGCCTCGAGCTGCGCAGGTGCTCAGGGAGTGTTCGCTGCACAGATGGATCCCACGGTGGCCACCACCTCCCCCGTGTGCACGCACCTGTGTCCCGAGCGCCGCCCGCCTCTCAAATGCGTGGAAGAAAAGCCAGGGTGAGACCGACTATGAAAAAGGGGGACTTTATTTAGTCTCTGGAGCAGCACTCCCCACCCGCCCGTGCACAACCGCTCCGCAAGGCTCTACTCAGTTCAGGACCAAGACTGTCTGGCACTAGAAACAGAAACATCAATTCTCTCCCCTTTTTTTTTTCTTTTTCTTTTTTTTTTTTTTTTTGGTACAAAATGATACAAACAACAATACAAAATAGTTGTGCTGTTGACAATTACAAAAAAAGGTGGAACGTTTGTCTAACCTCTCGATGCTCAGAGCTGCAGGTGTGAGTACCTCATACCCCAGTATCTTTCCCCAAAACAACCGTGGTCATGCGGGCTGCTACACATTGTCTCCATTTTCAAAAAGAAACATGCAAAAAAAAAAAAAAAAGCAGAATGAAGAAAGGAGAGAAAAGAAAAGTAAAACACGTTCCAATTGTACAGAGAGGTGGTCCCCCGCTGGGTCTGTGGCGCGGAGCTGTCCCTCCCACGGACCGACGGCGCCTGGAGCTGGGTCACGTGCTGCTCTGTGTCCGGGAGATTGTGTGTTGATTCTTTTGGTGTTATTCCTTTGAGCACTGGCAGAAATTGAGACTTCCCCTCACCTGGCTTTTTGCTTTGGAGAGAACAGAATCATCATCTCAGTGGACCATGTGTCGGTTGGTGCTCATGTTAGGGAAACCGAGGCATCTCTGAGCGCCGGACCGTTGTTGGCTGTTGCTCCGACTCGGCGGTGGTGGGAGGCGTCCATTTTGGATGCGCTGAAAGACTAGAAAGAGAAACCTGCTGGGCCAGAAGCGGGGGCAGCCCAGGCCCTGAAGAGCACGTGGCCCCGGGCTGGGGCTGCCCGACGACCAAGGCCAGGCGCTCCTGCCACTACACCCAGCAGCACAGGTTCTCCTGTTGGCAGAACAAAAATTGCCTAAAGGAACCAAACCACGCCCGGGTGCTCGGCCAACATCGGCCGCCCGGCCTCCAGCGGGTCCCCTGATTACAGACGGTCGTATCTACAAGCTAAGGAAGAGAGAGGTTCAACACTGATCGTTTGCTTAGCTAACGCTAACTCAGGTTCACAGGTGGAGCCGGGAAGTGCAGGAACCCCATCTTTCTCTGGCCCGCAGGGGCTCACTGGGGTGGGGTAAAGGGGAAGCTGTCCAGCTGTCTGGAGACAGGGATGGCACGGGAAGCCCCACAGATGTCCCTCCAGCTGGTACTGCAGCTTCAGCCTGTGTGATTTGGGCAAAATGAACGGGGGCTTGGCAGTGATGCGAGGCTGCAGGGAGGAGAGGGGCTGGCACCGGCATCGCCCAGCCGTCCTGGGTAGTGCGGCGGCGCTGGTGGGGCGAGGGTCTCCTGGTGCTGGGTCCTGGGAACCCAAGGAGGCCTGGAAATTTCAGCGAAAGGGGTTCATGCTGCCCTGGCTGCCAGTTACATTCACACTTAGACCAATCCACTCACACCCTCGGGACTGGAGGATGGACTTCCCCAAGCAACAGAGATGTCCAGTCCCTCCACCAGCCCCAGTAGCTGTCCCTCCCACGCCGTGCGGCAGACACTCAGGGGCATTCTTTGCATAGCACAGCTCAGAACTGGGGGACCCCAGTGCAGTCCGGTCAGCTGCCCCTTGACCTCTGTCCATCTCCTGGACGGGCTGTCTGCAGAGGGGGCCCCTAGCACGTGGCACGGTGAACCCCGCCCTCTCTAGCCAGCCATGGGAGGGTGAGAGTGGACAGATCCCGGAGACTGGGACCCCAACTCAACTCTGGAGGCTGCACAGGGGTGGCTGTGAGTTTGGTTTGGGCAAGGACCCTGACGTCCAATGGGAACATGCCGTGAGCATGGCACAGAGGTGCGCACTCAAGGCCAAAGCTGTTCAGAAAAGGCATGGCCTTAACCGTGGGGTAGGGCCAGAGGCTGAGGAAGGGCGGGACTCCAGTGGAGCTCATGCTGCTCCCACAGGCACCCCGAGGCATTCCCTGACCCCAGCAACAGGTGTGGGGCAGGGCTCCCGGAGGGCTGCCTGTCCTTCCCCAGCACTGGGACCACCTTACCCAACACCAGGTCCTGCCCAGGGCCCCTGGTACCTCACCTCCCTCCTCGGGAAGCCAGTTGTCAGTGGCCTGGGGAGAGACAGAAAGCTGAGCAAGCGCAAGGCTTCCCCACCTGGGCCTGGCCCTGCCCCAGCCCGAGGCACCTGTGCACCCAGAAATAGCCATGCCGGGAGAGAGAATGCGCCTGCGAGCTTGCTCATGCTGTGATGAACACAGGTGACCTAGGGCTCTCCAGGGGTCCTGGGACAAGCCCCTTTCACTGCCCTGCAGAACCGACCTGCCCCCCTGTGTGGCTTGAGTCCACCCCACCCTGAAAACAGCAGTGCCAGCCCTGAGGACTGCCTGCCCCCGACGTGGGCCCATAGCGGAGGAGGGGCACTGTCTGCGGCAGGCAGGGGTGTCTGTGGGGCAGGTGGGCACAGCAAGACGGGGTATCCTGCCACCCACACAGGCTCACCAGCATCTGGCGGGAATTGGGAGCACACGGGCTGGGGACAGGGAGGCTGCCTCAGTCTGCTGGGTGTGGTTCTGGTCACCATGCCCACCTGTGACTGCCCTCTCCAGGTGCCAGGGAGGGTCCTCCATCCCTGGCGTCTACACAGCCCCCAGGGTGGCTGGAGCTGTTGAGAGCATCCTGGGGTTTGAATTGATTCGTGTCAAGGGGACTTTGATGGCACCCCATGTGGTCTGGTCACAAGAGCCAGAGGGCTCTGGCCAGAGTTCTGCAGGATGCTGGCTGGTTTGGACAACTCCTCTTCTGGACCAAAAGCAGAGGGGACCTGGTGGCACTCGGGTGGCCCTGAGGGAGGCCTGGGTTGACTGGGGGTGGAGCCCTGGGGGCAGCCAAGGGCAGAGATGGGGAACACCCGGGATGACCCCTGGGAACCCCACCCGCTGGAGCTCCTCACAGCATTCCGGAGGGCGGGGAGCAGCCACACAGGCCCCAGGGCTTGGCCGCCCAGGGCTTTCTGCTGCTGGCCTTGACTCCCAAAGGGCCCAAGAGACCCCCAGCTATGTACAGCAAAGGCTGCTGGGATTTGAACCCCACTCTGTTTTCAAACAAGTCACCCACTTACTTTTTCTTAATAAAAGACCAAAATGAAAGAAAGAAAGACACAGTCTCCCCATTTCTGAATGATGCCTCCCGAGCTGGGACTAGCTGGGGTCGGAGGCTGCTGGGGACGGGAAGGTGGGGACGGGCTGTCTGCTTTGCTTTAGTCACTCCTGAGTTTGAGGGAATCTGATACGTGTACCAAAAGGCACTTTCATTTTTTTTTTAACAGTGCTTCTGTTCTAGGAAATTCAAGTGAAGACAGTGCCTCTTGCTCTCCTCAGTGCCAGCCGGCCGCGGTGCTGGGCAGCAGCCGCGTGCAGGGCGCCGCGGGGGTGGGTGCTCATGCTAGACAGCTCAGCGTGGGGGTGGGGGCCTTCTAACAGCACTAAGGACACGCGCAGGGAGAGTCGGAGACCGGCGCCTCTGCTCAGTCCTGCTCCTCCGGCGTCCGCGTGCGGCTCTCACTTTGGTCCGAGGATGTGAGGTCCGTTAATCCTCTTCGCCGCCTCCATACATGTCCGCCAGCTTCTTGAATCTGGGCCCCCAGTCGTTGAGGTAATCGTAGTCTTGGTCCCCGGAGCTGGACGAGTTCAGGGAGCTGACGGAGCCCGCGGTGGAGCCGCTGCCTTCGTAGTCGAAGACCAGCAGGGAGTCGTAGGGGGGCGCTGTGGGGTCGTTGTCGGCGGCACGGAGTCCCTGGGGGTCACAGACATGGGGTTAGGGTGCGGGGCGAGCTGTCTCAGTCCCGGGACCTGATGGAACGGAGAGCAGGGCCCAGCTGAGGAGGAGGGAGGTGGGACAGTGTATACGGTAGGTGTCCAATAAGTGCTCTCTGCGTGTAACCGAAGGGCAAGTCTGAGTAGGAAAGGGCATTTGTGAAGACTGAGTGTTGAGTGTCGGAGGGGAACTCCAATTCAGCAGCAGCCTGGGGGCAGGGGAGGGGAGGGCTGGGGAGGGCCTGTGGCTGGAGTTCAGCTCCTCCCAACCCGAGGGAAGGGGAGGGGGTGTGGGGGAGGGTAAGGGAGGTGGTGGGGATGTGGGGGGAAGGTGAGGGGGTGTGGGGGTGAAGGAGGTGGGGGGAAGGTGAGGGGGGTGTCATGGAGGGTGAGGAGGTATGGGGGAAGGTGAGAGGGGTGTGGAGGAGGGTGAGGGAGGTTTGGGGGGAAGTAGGGGTTGTGAGGGAATGTGAGGAGGCGTGGGAGAGGTGGGCGTTTGGGGGAGGGTGAGGGACGTGTAGGGGAAGGTGGGGGCTGTGGGGGAAGGTGAAAGAGGTGTGGGGGAGGGTGAGGGGGTATGGGGCAGCGTGAGCAGGTGTAGGGGGAGGTGGGGTGTGGGGGATGGTGAGGAGGTATGGGGGAGGTGGGATGTGGGGGAGGGTAAGGGGTTGTGGGAGGAGGTGGGGTGTGTGGGACGAAGGGGTTTGGGGGAGGGTGTGGGGGTGTGGGGGAAGGTGAGGGTGTGTGGAGGAGGGTGAGGGAGATTTGGGGGGAAGCAGGGGTTGTGGGGGAATGTAAGGAGGTGTGGGGTAGGTGGGCGTTTGGGGGAGGGTGAGGGAGGTGTGGGGGAAGGTGGGGGTTTGGGGGAGGGTGAGGGAGGTGTGGGGGAGGTGGGGGTTTGGGGGAGGGTGAGGGAGGTGTGGGGGAAGATTGGGCCGGGCATGCTTTACATTTGTATTGGGGTCTTTACATTTGTATTCCGTCATAGACGGTAAGCGTCGTCAGAGCGGCTCCCTCGTGGGCAGTTGTAGGAATTTCTTCTGTGGCCAGGGACACAATCTGCTTTGGGGAAACCTTTTTGTCTCTCTGCTGAATCATTGCCTGGGTTAGCTTCTGTTTAAATCAACTCCTTTAAAGTGAGATTCTGACCAAGGCTGAGATCTAAGTGTTGCTAAACCTTCTTTATAATGCAGCCAGTATTGGAGAGCAGGTGGTGAACCCACAGGGGCTCATGTGGCTGGAGCAGGGATGGAGGACACGGTGATCCCTGCAGGGCGGCAGGCAAGGCCAGCCTGGAGCCTCAGAGTCACGGCCGGAGGACGCTTCCCTGGGGGAATCTGCCCTGTTGCTCCTCTGTTCGCTTCACCACAAAGGAAGATGGGAGTGAAGGCAGGGAGGTGCACATTTTGAAGTGGAAACTCAATGTCTCAAATGTCTTTCAAAGGAGAAGATCGAAGCCTGCGGCCTGCTGTTCGTTGGCCCAGTCCCTTCTAACCCTCGAATGTCAGGTTGGGCACGTGGTCAGTCAGGTGGTCAGGAGGCAGCCCCTGTGTGTGTTCCCACCTGCTGTGTCCTGATGGTACGGGGGGTGGGGAAAGGGGTTGAGGGGAGGGTTGTGGGGGAAGAGTGGGGAGAGAGGGCAAGTTGGCCGGGGCCCTGAGACCAGGCTTGGGCCTCTGTCTGTCTGAGCATCTGTGTGGGCCAAGCCCGGGATGGTGGGCTGTGTGTAAGGTCAGTGCCCGGGGGGCTCTGCTGCTGTCTCACCGCTGCCCCTGAGGCCTGTCCTTGCTGCTGGCGCTTCTGCTGCAAACCCGAATTCTTATGAAGCCCCTGCCGAGCACCCAGCCCTGCGTGTTGATCCTTCATCTGGCTCACAGGTGGGAATCTTCATCCTTAGAAAGAGGGGCTGCTGGGGGAGGTGATTTGCCCAGGCCACCCAGCTGGAGTGGCGGGGCAGGCCTGGAACCCAGGTCTGAGCTGCCTTGTCCCCATGGTGGCTGCCGGCACAGTGGAGACAGCTTCTGTCCGTGTGTGCTACTAGCATTTGTTTCTGGAGGAGACACCTTACCCAGGACCCCCCACTGCCGAGGGCACACACCTCGTTGATGAATTCACCGATGTCGCCTGGGTGTGGCACCACGGGCCTGACTGGGTACTGGGGCTCAGCGCCCACCGGCCGCTCATCCACGCGACGCACGCCGGGGGCTTTGCTTGGCACGTGCCCCATGGCTTCTGGCTGCTGTAGCTGGCTAAGGTCGTAGTCCTGGGGAAGGGAGCCGGGGGAGTCAGGGCACCAGAAGAATCCGCCAAGCCCCCCTTCCAGCCTGCACCCCGCTTCCAGCCCACACCCTGTTCTGTGACCGAGGCCATAGATGGGCCTGCTGCCCTGCGCCCTGGTCTCCAAGCACCCCACAGTCCCAAGCTGTCCCCTGCTGTGCCCTCCCACAGTGCTCCACTTCCTCACCCTTCACCCCAATCCCTCTGGCAGGGATGGGGTCTGTGCCTGGCTTCCTTCGATGGCCTGGGGCTCACTCCCAGTGACCCCACCGCCACGCTGCTCACCAACCACGCACCCCGAGTGCTCAGGTGGCCAGGAGCTGGGCCTCCGCAAGGCACATTCCTCACGCTTGTTATGGCTGTATTGTCAGAGGGGCAGGGCGGGGTCTGAGCTTTAGAGGGGCTAAGGATTTGCCCCAATTCCCCCAAAGGCTGGGGCAGACCCAGATTCCAACCAGCAGCTCTTGTATTGTACCCTCTCGGGCGCCCGGTGCACTGCCCCTGGTCACTCACAGCCCCCTGTGCACGGCAGCATCGGGAGAGTGGGCATTGGTGTCCTTGGCCAACCCAGAGCCCCCTCCCCTCCGGGGCACAGGGCAGCACTGGGCTGGGGTCAGCGGTGGGAGGGAGGGAGGTGAGGAATGGAGGGTCCCAGGATCCCTCTGGGGGATAGAGGTGCAGTGTGTGCAGTTCAGCCCAGGCCAGACCTGCAAACGTGGGCAGCGGAACCGGGCTGGGAAACCGGGCTCCCCTGCCTGGTGCCTTCATCGTGGAAAAGGCTGAAATGTCCTACCATTTTTGTTTGTTTGTTTTTTGAGATGGAGTCTTGCTCTGTCACCCAGGCTGGAGTGCAATGGCGCGACCTTGGCTCACTGCAACATCTGCCTCCCAGGTTCAAGCGATTCTCCTGCCTCAGCCTCCTGAGTAGCTGGGATTATAGGTGTACGCCACCCCTCTGGCTAAATTTTGTGCTTTTAGTAGAGATGGGGTTTCACCATGTGGGTCAAGCTAGTCTTGTGCACCTGACCTCGTGATCCGCCTTCCTTGGCCTCCCAAAGTGCTGGGATTACAGGGGTGAGCCCCTGCGCCCGGCCATGTCTTACTCTTAAAACCCAAGAGCAGGCCCTGCTGAGACACTGGTGCCCGTGAGAGCCGGCCTCCTGTGGGGCGGGGCGTGGGCGTGGCCTCACCTGGTCCTCCTCACCGCCGCCTTCCTCATCATACTTGAGGATGTTGTCACGCACGTCGTCCTCGGGGTCGATGAGCAGCTGCTTGGTGTGGCGCTCCTTCTCCCGCCGCTTCATCCACACGACAAACAGCAGGACCATGGCTGCGGGGGAGGGCGGGCGTGAGCAGGGAGTGTGGGTGTGCCGCGTGTGTGCCCACGCATGCCTCTGTGTCTGTGTGGGCATGTACATGTAGGTAGCACAGAAGCATGACTCCGTGTGTCCAGGTGTGCATGCCCACCTGTATTGCACATGCACACGTGTCTGTGCACATGCAGGCCTGGGTGTGCAAGCACACACATCTGTGCATATGTGCAGCCCATGTGCATTCGTGGATGCAGATGTTCCGTACATGTCTGTGTAGGCATGTATACATGTATCCACAGGAGTGTGTGCCTGTGGGTGAGCGTGTAGATCTGTGTATATGTGCACTCATGTGTTCGTGTGTGTACATGCACACAGAAGTCTGCACATGTCTGTGTGCGCATGTCTCTGTGCGTGTCTCTTCATGTGTGTCTGTGTGTGCTCATGCATACAGGTGTGGGTGTGTGTGAATGCACGTCTGCTCACGTGCCTATGCGTGCGTGCATGCCTGGGTGTGCCTCTGAGTGTCCATTCAGAGCCCTGCTAGCTCAGGTCCCTCCCCAGCTCACTGCCTGGGCACTGGGCTAGATTTTGAGACACTGATTTACATACTCCTCCTCCTCCTGCACTCCTTTTTGAGGAGGCCGCCAGCTCAGGGTGCCCCCCACCGCCTGGCGGCAGGAGGACGTGGGGAGCTGAGGGACCTACCCACAAGTCTTTCTGCGTCCCTCTTCTGAGCGGCAGGAGGGGAGATGGTTTTGATGGAGGTGGAAGTGAGGTTTTAGGCACACAGTGCTTGGAAGGAATCACTGAGTGGGGGAGATGGATTCTCCCATACTGAAAGAAGCTCTGTCTGCCCTGGGAGGGGTCAGGGAAGGAGCGGGGCCCAGAGCGGGGATCCAGGGATCCTGCTTCCTGAGGGCCCGTGGGGCGCAGTCAGTCCAGGGCTTTGCTGGACAGAAGGGCAGCCACACCCAGTACCCGGGGGGTCACTCAGAGGGGCTCTTTCCATCACCCAAAGGAACTGGGGTGCAGGTTCAGAAGTTCAGGTGCAGGTGGAAACTGAAGAGAGGTAAAGCCCCTTTGTGGGGTGGATGGAGGGACCCTGTCCCTGAAGCTGAACCGCCTCCCTGCCACCCTCCAAGGTCCGTGTCCTGGCCTGGCTCCCCTAAACAACCTTGCTCACTCTGGACCCCTGGCTGCCCCTGCTGCAGGGACAGCCTGGGCGCCCATCTGCAAGCCTCCCTCTTTGTCCGTTCTCTGTGCATTCGCTTCTCGGTTTCGCAGGGTGGGCGGTGCACCCAGCACGGGCTCCAGGAGCAGGTAATGTGGCCCGCACCTCCGGTAAATGCCTGCAGAAAGCACCCGACGCATCCTCCCAAAGCCTCTCGGCACCTCCCACGTCACGTGTGACAACGGAGGCCCAGAAGTCACAGGTGTGCCCCTGTGTACCGCAGAGGGTCAACCCAGAGGCAGGAGAAGACGGCCACCCCCAGTCAGAAGGGCCGTCCCTTGCCAACCTGATTAACTGGCTGTGGCTGCCTGAGTGCAGTGACAAGGCTTCCAAAGCTGAGTCTAGGCTTGGGAGGAGCTCTGTGGGTATTGGCAGCACCCCTGCTGCCTGCGGAGGGTGAGGTGACAGCCGGGGGACGCTTCCTGGCCTGGCCCAGATGGCAGAGAGGGAAGTGCAGGCAGAGGGAGGGGCCACCCACTGCAGGTGCAGCTCGGTGAGAACCGGGAACCTGGAGCCCGGGCCTGGTCTTGGCTTGACAGAAGCGGCAATGCCAAGAAGCACACTCACAGCCGGCACCCCAGGCTTGTCCAGGAGGACGAGTGTGGAGGAGCAGAGGCCACCCGGATGCCCGCCATGTACCCGACCAGGGCTGAGGTGCCCACGACTGGGCAGAACCAGGCAGCAGGTGGATGTGCTGTTGACCCCGGCCCCGGCCTCACTGTGGCTGCCCTTGAGAGTGGCCCGGGTCTCCTGCCCGCGACAGGCACCCAGCTGAGTCACGTCTCACAGCCTGGCCCACAGGGGGTGCTCTGGCCAGGGCCCGGCCCCTGTGTCTTCAGAGCAGGAGACATGGGTAAGAATGCCCCATCTTTGTTATGGAGACGCATCCCAACCTCTGTGGGGCCCTTTCTATTCCAGATCATACAAAGGACCCCATTACGCTGAATGGCTTTCAAAACAAGCCTCAGAAATAAAAAACAGCTTTTTGAGGGGGGATGGGTCCGGAAATGAGAAAAAAAACAGAGGCCTCATAACTGAGATGTCCTTTGGATGGGGCTCACGGTCCCTGGGGTCTGAAGTCAGCCAGAGGCCAGGTCTGCAGGAGGGCCTGCTGCTTGCTCCAGCTTGTTCTGGACGTGGTGGGGGACCCACCCGCTGGTTTGGATGTGAACTGGGGAGGTGGTGGCTGAACCCTTCCCCGCCCTGCCTCCCACTGGGGTCCCCGGGCTATCACAGACCAGGGCAACTGTCCATGAGGGATGATGGGAAGAAGGACCTCTGGGGTCATTTTCAAGCACCTTCCCTGGTGCCCCCCACAACCCTCACTCCTACTGGGGAACCCACATGGTTCTGGGAAACTCCAAAAACTGCTCGAGCATGTGATCTGGGCAGAGCTAATGAGAACACCCCATTCCTTGGCTGCTGATTGGCTCCAAGGTGTGCATCCCAAGCCAGTCCAATCAGACTGTCCCAGGACTTTGGACGGGGATGCTAATAGGCAGGCTGACCTTCCCCCTGCTAGGTCCACCTGGGAGCTGCCTGCAGGCACTGCAGGCCCTGGAGGAGAGCAGCTTCAGGACACGGCTCTCGGAGGCAGAGTGGAGCCGTGGAAAGGGGCCAGGCGATGGGAGATGCCTGGACCTCCGGATTTGAAAGCAACAGGGGGCTCCAATTTCCTACGTCATATGGGCCAGCTCAGCTGCGTTTCTGAAAAGCCCCTGGCCGATGGGGCTGCGCGATGCAGGCTGAGGGGTGAACGCGGGCCCCCCTTTGCCCACCATCCCTGGGACAGGCGCTCATACCCATAGTGCCCCGCCCGCCTTGGTGCTCAGCCACACTCACTCAGCAGGATGAGGATGCAGATGAGGATGGCCACGATGGCACCAGTGCCCAGACCAGCCGCTGCCACCGCGCCAATGGTAGTGCAGTCCCCGTTGTCGTCACATGGGCACACCTTGACTTTGATGATAGACATGTTGGACAGGGGAGGGTTTCCAGAGTCCGTGACGATGATGGGGACGTCATACACCCCGGCCTCCAGGTACAGGATGCGCAAGCTGAGTTGGGCATAGTCACCTGGCACAAAGCAAGAGTAAACGTTCAGCCCGAGCCTGGCCCTCCCTTCCAAGCAAGACGGCCAAAGGAAAAGACTAAGTCCAATGGCTTGGAAACTGGACATGTCTGCCTGGTTACGGCATGCACGCACACACTATGCTACACCATTACGTCAAAAGACATTGGAAGTCGGGCGCAGTGGCCCATGCCTGTAATCCCAGTACTTTGGGAGGCTGAGGTGGGCAGATCACTTGAGGTCAGGAGTTCACGACCAGACTGGTCAACATTGTGAAACGCTGTCTCTACTAAAAAATACAAAAATTAGCTAGGTGTGTGGTGAGAGCCTGTGATCCCAGCTACTTGGAAGGCTGAGGTGGGAGAATTGCTTGAACCTGGGAGGCAGAGGTTGCAGAGCTGAGATTGTGCCACTGCCCTCTAGCCTGGGCAACAGAGCAAGACTCCATCTCAAAAAAAAAAAAAAAGACATTGGAGACACAACCAAAAAGCAATTGCAACATGTAGGATGAATAAATAATTTCCTGAATATATAAAGAGTTTTACCAAATGAATAAAAAGAAACTCTCCAAAGAAAACATAGGCAAAGTCATTGAACAGACAAGTCACAGAAGAAATAAAAATGGTCAATAAATAGATAAAAAAATTTCCACTGGTAGTCAAGATATACAAATGGAAACAATGCCTTTGGCCGTAAAATTGGCAGAATAAAATACTGTTTTAAAACAATTATATTCAGTGTTGGTGGGGTTTGTGGAAACAGGTCCTCTCCCAATGGAAGGGGACATGTCTAGAGCACCTTGTCACTGTGCTGCCAAAACTTCAGAATTTTGATATCCTTTTATAACAAAAATCCACATCCAAGCAAGCATTCTAAGGAAACATATCGGTCACAGTGCAGCCAGCTGATCACCGGCATAGGAAGCTGTCATGGGTACACATGGGCGGGGCTGCAAGCACGTTCACGGCTGGGCTCCGTAAAGCAGCAAGAACTTGATTTTGACTTGGGGGCCTCCTCGGGGCCAGGTGAAGAAGGCTGAGCAGCCGAAGCGAGGCTGGTGTCCGCAGCCGAAGCGAGGCTGGTGTCCCCAGCCTTGGCGGGACAGTCCCCCTGGAGGGCTGTCGTCCCCCTCTGGTGCTCACTCTTCCAAGGCCAGCTGGGTCCCCCAGGGGCCTGCACCCCAGACTAGTCTGACCCTCCCCATGGCCCAGGACAGGCTCACCATTTAGGCGGGTGATGGTCCAGTTCTTCCGCACAGCCGCCGGGACGAAGGGCAGCTCGAAGACATAGGGGCCGATGTTGGGGTCGACGTCAGCGTCGGCCGCCGTGATGTTGATGGCGTTGAGGTTGGGCTTCTCGCAGATCTGCGCCTCCTTGGGCAGCAGCTCAGGTGCGTTGTCATTGATGTCGATGAGATAGATCTGGAGGGTCCCGGTGCCGCTGGCTGGGGGTATCCCTGCGGAACGGACACAGGTCAGCACTCAGCAGTCCTGGTACTCCGTGACCAGCCCGCCACTCCACACGGGGCACGCACACAGCAACCACACGTACATACACAGGGACATATGCGCAGCCCCTTAGCCGGACACAGGGCTGGCCACCCGCCCCACAGCTGCACAGGGACTGACCCATAGCCCAGCCATGACTCCTGACTGACACCCTGCCACAAGCCCTGGGCAGCCGCTGAAGAACGCATGGCCATGCCCACGGCCGCAGCTGCACACGGGCACACGGCGGGGCGTGGCATTCACCTGGAGCCTCGCAACACACCCTCCACTGATACACGGCTGAACTCAGAGCCACTGAGGTCACAGCCCGCATGGGGGACCCACTCCCCCTGGGGAGCCAGGGAGGGATTCTGAGGGCGCTGGGCTTTGCACCGGCCCCCAGGGCTGGGACCGGCCCACCATATCTTGCCCTCATCTGGGACTACTTGGGGCAAAACCTTTCCTTGCCTTCCTGTGTTTTGCTGACCCCAGCCAGCAGAGCCCCAGGAGGCTGGAAGTCCTGAGCCCAGATGCCTGAACCTAACGAAGAACTGCTGCTTTTGGAAGTGTCTTTGGGAAAGGCAGGAGGGGCTGGTCCAGATGAGCTTTGATGGAAGCTCCCTCCAGGCCTGGCAGGAGGCCTCCTTGGAGGACCCCATCACCTCTGGCCTCAGCGTGGAGGGAGGTGCTCTGCTGAGCCCCCAGAGCTCCTTAGGGGCATCCCTGTCCCTGGGGCCCTCACATGCTCAGCCCCTGCCTCTGCCCAGTCCAGCAGTGCTGGTGGATGCAGGCCAGGGGCTGGAATCTGGGGACAGAGAGACGCCCTGTCTGCTCGCCAGGCTTGGGGGCAGTGGCAGCATGTTCTGACTGTGGCTTTGCCCCTGACGGCGGCTCCTGACCTGACTTAACAACCACGTGTTTTGACTGAGGCGGACGAAGCATGTAAGAATATGTCCTATGGGATGTCTCTTTAATCTTCTGGAAGCTGCATCAAAACACATTTAAGGTGACACAGTGCGGCACTGCCTTTGAAAACTGCTTTGAGAAGTAGCTGATGACGCAGCACATGACGGGAGAAGCACAGAGGGCCCCGCTCCAGCCGGCACGCCCGGCTCACTCACACGGCGCCTGCCACGTGCGACCTCTGATGCTCCAGCTACGGCCTCACAATCACTTTCTGATCTAACCTCAGGGCTTTGGCTGCGGCAGGAGGGCCGACAAGGAGAGACGCTTCCCCCGACCAGGGCCCTGGGCTCACAGGCAGCTTCACAGCTCCATGGCCCGGGCTCTGTGGGTCCCAGGGGTGCGGTGATGGCTGGGGAGGCTGGCAGGGCAGTGGTCGCATCCCAGCTTTCGCCTGCTACAGGACAAGCATTTGTGCAGTGGCTACTCTTGCCCATGAGGCTTCATGCTCGTCCATTCCAAGAGCCACCAGGCGTGGCCCTGCCTTGGGGCCTTGCCGCCACCCTCTCTGGACTCCTAGGGTCCTGGAGGGTCTCTTGCCCCCCTGCTGTGACTGAGGGTCACAGGGGTCTGTGTTGTGGGTCAGAGATGTGACCGGGGGCTGCTGACCAGTGGGGCTGGGCCTTCCTCGCAGGATGGGGTCTGTGGCAAGGGCTGCTGGCTAAAAGCATTTGAAAACTGTGGACCTGGTTCCAGTGGCTCAGTTCATAGGCAGCAAAACTGAGCAAGGACAGGGTTGGGATGACTGGCGCCCTAACGCCCCCACGGGTGAGTGACACTGGGGGGATGCGCCCGGCGTAACTTCCGGCAAGTGAATGCTGGGGAGGGGACAGAATAAATGAATGAAGTAGGAGAGGGCGGAATGAATGAGTGGGAGGTGGCAGAATGAATGAATGCTGGACAGGTAGCGGAATGAATGGGGGTGGAATGAATGAAGTGGGAGGGGGTGGAATGAATGAAGTGGGAGGGGGCAGAATGAATGAGTGAAAGGGGGCGGAA